GAATGGATTGTTAAAGACAAAATTGTATCATTTTCTCTTTTTTGGCCTCCTTCGAGTTCACCTGGTGCATAATAATAACTTACTTTTACAGTTAACGGTAATAAAATTTCTGTTAAACCTGTTTTCCTACTTGCGGGCATTGATGGAGAAACAAACTGTGACTGCTGACCTTGCACTTAAAATGTGACTCCCAAATGTTTTCCTAAATAAAGTAAACTGTGATTAAACTAAATATATAAATAAATACATAATTTTTGAGGTCCGCTTTCTAAACATATAAGAATTAATTTTCAGCTTCTGATAATAATGTTTTGGATGACGTTTATATTGTTCCTTTTATATACTGTATGGAATTTAACATTACTTATTTCTCACTATTATTGTTTACATTTTTTTACATACTAGTGAAATACATGAAAGATTTCTATGGAATTATTTTTTTTAGAAACGTTAGTGTCACATATAACAAAATTCGATTTGGTAGGTAAATTGCAGGGCCGACAACACCACAGGGGCTACGGAGGTACGTACCGCCACTTTTTTTTCTAAAGGACCATCTTTTTTTCTTTAGAAAATTCTAGACATAGAAGACTTTTTTTAAGAATTGGCAATTATACCAATTCGAAACCCGTGTCGTTGGCCCAGAGTTGATTGGTAATCATTTGAAGAGAGCTCCTAATAGTATAGCATAAAAATTATTTTGCTTTGTTTTTGTATGCTTACATTGTAAATAAACACAAAACATTTAAACTTTTAGTTATTTATCCGGATCTAGTTTGTTATACCTAAGTTTTCATTTGTAAAATTTTTTTTTTTTCCAAATAACATAAGTTGTTTACTTAAATAACTTCTACGGAAAAAAGGCATTTAGGATCGATGAAAACGATAAAAAGTTTCATTTAGACTTGATAAAAACCAATAAAAAACGTTTAAAAAACGTTTTTATAAAAACGTCCGGTCACTGCTTCATATGGGCACATTCAAAAAACTAATAAATCAAACCAAAGAGACCAAAGAGAGAGTAAAAAAATGTTCTCTGAGGTTGGTCTTGGGGTGTCGTCAAACCCCTATTTTACATCCACTAGGTATGATAAGTTTACAAGCAAAAATTTACAAACTTCATACCTCGTTATTACTATTACCTCGATATTACTACTAACCATGTATGAAGTTTATACAAGTTTTTTGTAGATATCTAACAATGTATGAAGTTTGAATTATCTACAAACTATGTATAAAGTTTGTAAACATTTTTTGCTTATAAACTCGTTTGTATCTAGGGATTGCAATCCCGGGCATGAATTACGATCCCGGGATTTCGGGATTGAAGTAAATAAAATCCCGGGATCCCGGTATCCCGGTATTTTATATATAGTGAGTTATTTACTAAAAAACAGAACTTAATACTGCATATATGAATATACTTTTTGATGTTATCAATTCTTTATTTAATTTCATTATGTTTTAATGACTTACATTAATTTTCTACGGCGCCTTAAATTGTTTTAATTGTGTAACAGGCAGCAGGTGTATATAAAGATCTTAAAATAATGCAGAAATATATATACGGTACCTTCCATATTATGTTTTAAGATTACAGACTTTACAGAATAACCTTCATCAAATAATTGGATATGTAAATAACATTTGAACATTTAAAGTGTATTTGACTAAAGTAACTAAACAATCAAAATTTCAAAATAAATTTGTAAACATAAATTTTCTTAAATTTGGGTACCGATGTAGCTGCTGTAGCAACAAGCTACTTTGTAAAAAATAACATAATAAGTTGTTTGTTAATATTGAGAGACAAAAATTAAAGAAAATCTTTATTTTATATTTATAAATAAATGGTAGCTAAATAATAAATGTAAAACAAAAAAACAATTCATATTAAATGCATATTTTATTTACAAACTTTCTTTTTTTGTCTGAAAATATGCCCGGAGCAATAGTAGAGCATTTAAGGTTTGGTCATTTAGCTTACTCCTTATTTTACTTCCCAAATACCCAGCTGCAGAAAATGCCCGCTCAGGTTCGATGCTCATCGGTGGAATAGATAAATATTGGTATACTAATTCCAAATTATGGCCCCGGTTTCCACCATTTTCAAACAGATGTATTTCTTTCTTTATGATTGACATTAAATTTGAAGTTTGTGTTTCTGGTTCAATGGCTTTCATGCTTTGTGCAATTTGTTCTTGTAACTTTTCTCTTAAAGACAGGAAGGCTCGAACTTGTGATTCTTCATTTCTAACGACAGCCATTATATTTTCATCAACATCAATACTTGATTTTTCTAAATTATCATTTTTAAAAGCAGCTAGTCTCTCAATAAGTTTTTTTATCTGCTTCCTAATAAGGGTTTTAGGAGGAACTCCAAAAATTTTGCAGACATTTGTTTCATCATTCACAGCATCATATTTTGGATTTTGAAGGTATTTTAAAACACCAGAAATTTCTTCACATCGTTTTTTTTCCATTCTTGTTTTTATAGCTTGGAACATTTTATTAGCAAAGGGAGATTGTTTTTGAGCAATCTGCTGGAATAAAAATATAAGTACTGCATCTGCAGTGCATAGATTAGCATCTCTTCTGCATAACGCATCTACTGCTAATTTGACAGGTGCAAGTACTTCTATTATTTCCGAAAGAACCACGAAATCACTTTCGTTTAAGGAAACTGGGTGGTTTAAGTCAATTAAAGCTTTCTGTATACATGTTTTTAAAGCAAGGAAACGCTCTAGCATCGGTAGAAGAGAGTTCCATCTTGTTTTGCAATCCAAAAATAGCGAAAGCTTGCTGCCTTTCTCTTATTTGACATATTTTCGCAAGACTGCATTATTTTTTGTCGGGGATTGTTTAAAAAGAACAAATACCTTACGGGCTTTTTTCACTAGTTCATTGATATTTTGTTCATTGGTGAGTAAATCCATATTTGCTATACCATCATTTGTTGAAGGTAGAAAGCCTAATCCCATTTCCTCGTCGATATTTTCTTCATCTTCGTGATCATCTGTTTCATCAACAATATCTTGAGTTTCCTTCAATGGTGCTTCGGTGTCGGACATTGGCGTAGAACTTTTTTTTATAAAGAACATCACAAACTGCAAGGTGAATTTCATGGACTAAACACAACTGGTGTTCAGCCTCAATAATTTTTCCTACACGAACCATTACATTTGGACCATCCGTAACAATAGTAACAATGTCTGAATCAATATTAACATTATGCTCCTTTAGACGTGTTTTTAAAACATCAATACATTTCTCAGCATTCATAGAACCATATACACGAATAAGACCCAAACTCCAGTGCTTATTTGGGATATGTACATTAATATTCATGTATCTTTTATTTGTTGTAGAGGTCCATTCATCAAAGCTCAGAGAAAATCGTGTTCCCAAAGCTTTATATTGATAAATTTCTTTGAAAATTAACTGTCTAATATTTAAGCTGTAACTCATCACTATCCTTTTAATTGAGTTTGCTGACTTGGGCAAATTTTCGAAACCACTGGTAATCAGTAATTGCCTTAAATCTTTTGATGTTATAAATACATTCAATGTTAGCCCATCTAAAGCTGTCATTCGAGCCAGTGTTTCGTCTAAGGTTTTTTTTTTTTCGAATGCAAAGTAACTCGTTATTCTTCGTTTCGTAGGAGGCTTCTCGTCGGTTCTGGCATCATTCAACTGTTGACTCGAACTAGGTAAATTTTTGTCGGCTGAAGTTACTTTCAAATTATGCTTAGTTGACAAGTGCGTATGAAAGCCTTTTGTAGAACCACCCAATGTTTTCAAAATTACACCACATTTCTTACATTTTGCTGGCAAATTAATATCAGACTTCAAATAATGTGACCACACTGAAGTTGGGTCTTTATCTTTTTTGTGTAGAAAAAATGATGTTCCCTTTTCACTGTTCATTCATGTTTAGGAAGATATTTTTTTAAGGTGCATTAGTAAACAACATATTATTGCGGTAAACAACAAAAGCATTAAAAAGGTTATCAGTTCAAAACGTTCAAAACGAATCATTCCATAGTCAAATTTTGTATGTATTCACACTAGAATTCCTTCAAGCGGAATTAACTGTCAAGGGCATTATAATGTTGCAATAACTAATAATTATACAAATATAGTTATACAAACCGCTAGAAATATCCCAAAGGGAATTGTTATGTAGTAATCATTAAATTTTTTTAGATATAATTTTTTCTTTATTACTTGTTCATTTTTATTTTTTTCATTCTCTAAAAATATTTTTTGAAATGAACAAAACGACTTAATAAACTCAAGCAATCACTTATCCACAAATTCGCTCAACAATTTTAAAATTTATCTTTTTAACGCGAGAAGTCTTGCCAACAAACTTAACGATTGTTTTTTATACAATAGTCAAACAAACCTGCCTTAATTTGTGTTTGTGAAACTTTTTTCAATGATAAAATCCCGAACTCCATGGTCTATTCAAAAATTTGTTCCATTTATCGTAAGGATAAAGCATAAACAGGATAAACCTGCAAAGCAGCATTATATAACTCGTTATAATTCAGTATAGTTACCAACTTTGAACATTTTGTTTTACAAAATAATTTAATTAGTTCAATCCTGCTATAATCCCGAAAATCCCGGGATTTTGTGTTTAGAATCCCGGGATTTTCGGGACCCAAAAACGTCCGGGATCCCGGGATCTCGGGATCCGGGATCCCGGGATTGCAATCCCTATATGTATCATACCTAGGTACTTGTATGTATGATACCTAAATATAGTGAAAAAATGAAACTACTACATAGAAAAAAAAGCTTAGGCTACTTATGGGAATTGAATATCATTTTCCCAGCCAGCGTTCTAAAATCATTCGGGAAAACATTTTCAGCACAAAAATATGTTTTGCCAGTGTAATGTAAGGATAAAATCTCTAAAGCTTTTTTAATTCCACGTAGATTTTAACGCGAAATATTAATGCGCAAATACGTTATTGTGTTTGTTTCCGTCTAATCTAAAAATTGGTCTTAGTTAATAATAACAAACAAAAAAACTTATAGATGAATTAAAAAAAAAGAAACTAAAATTTTTTTTTATAAAGAAAATCAATTAAACAAAAACAAAATTAAAAAAAATGGTAGATTCTAATACGAAAAAAACTGTAGGAGCAATCTTACAACTAAAAACTAAAGCTGGTCCTCGTGATGAAGGTCTTTGGGTTAATAGATTAAAAGAAGAATACCAAGCTCTAATAAAGGTTATTAATTTTATTTATAAGATATATATTGTTCCATACCAGGGTAAATCATGAAATTATTTTTTTTTTATATTTTTATATAAAAAAATTAGAAATAAAAACAAACAAATACAACATAAAACTATAACAGATCACCATTCTATAGAATTTAAAATTTGCCAAAAAGAAAGCAATAACAAGTAATTAGTGCTAAATTTGATGCATTGGAAATGAACAAATAGTTATTAAAAAAAAAAAACAAAGAAAAATTTGATAAGATAACAATGAAAAATTTGATAATGACAACAAAAATGTCTTCTTTATTTTTATGAATTCTAGTCTAAATTGATTTAAACATGCACCTAAAATTTTACCAAAGCAAGATTTGATCATTTTAGCTTGAATTCCAGGTTTATGAATATAAGCTGTATATGTCAAATCAAATCAAATATATTTCGAAATATATGTTATAACATTTCAAGAAAATTTTCAATAGTAGTAGTACTAATTTAAAGGAAATACCTGAATATACAGCATAACGTTATAGTCATTGATGAAAATAGTAATAAATGATAAATAATAATATTTATAATAATAATAATTATAATAATAGTAGTAATAATAATGATAACAAAAATAATAATAGCAATAATAATAATAATTGTAATAAGAGCAACAACAACAACAACAACAACAAAACAACAAAAATAATAATAATAATAATAACAACAACAACAACAATAATTGTAATAATAATAATAGTAACAAAATGATAACGATTATAATAAAAGGAGAATTTCATAAATAAAGACAATAACAGCAACAACAAATATTTAGTAAATAATGACAGCAACAACAAAGATTTAGTACAAAGTAGAGAATAGTTGAATGAAAAGAGATAAATAAATAGATAGATAAATAAAGAAAATATTGGTACTAATATTAATAATATCAGAATGATAAACTTAATAAAAAGTTTAAAAATGGCAGATAAAAAACCAGAGGATTTAGGTGTAAATGGATTAGAGAATTTCAAAATGTTATAAATATCAAAATAAAAACCGAAGTATCACGAATTGATTTATATAATAAAGAATTTCAATATTAATTTGTAGAAATATTTAATTGTATTTCTTTAAGAAATAATTAAAAAGCTTGATTTTGAATTCAGAGATTAAATTAAGAGATTTTAGATCAGCAGGTAATTTGTTCCATGAGCTAATATATTGATATTTATTTCCATATTTAGCAGAGTGGTGTTTTGGAACAAAGTTTAAGTTACTGATGGAGCGAAGAAGATAGTGACAATTTGTATTTGTAAAGAAATTGTTGAATGATATGAGAAGGTTTTTGTGATGATAATTCTAGACAAATCGGCAGTTAAGAAATACCACAAGGTTGCTTATTTTTAATGTATTGGAGAATAGGTAGAGCACATTAGATTTAAAGTTATTATTCTGAAAATATATTATTTTCAAGGTTTTGTTTTACTTGACATGCATATCTTAGATGGGACCTAAAAATAACATGATATATATTTAGCAGAGTTTTTAGATTTACATAATGGCTAGATTAGGTTTAAAGATGATTAGCTCTGTTTTGCTAGATTTGAGAGAAAGTTTAGTAGAGCGAAGCCACTGAACAAGATTTCCAAGATCGTGATTAATATATTTGTTGATTTTTTTAAGTGGTTTGTCAACCAGTAGCATGTTAGTATCGTCAGCAAAATGGTAAGCAGTTGCAAATTTAAAAGAAGTATTTAAGTCATTTATAAAAAGAAGAAAAAAAAGTGGTCCTAAAACTGAACCTTGTGGGATGCCATTTAAGTAATTCTTTAAGTCAGATTAAGTGCCATTATTGAAAACAAACTGTGATCTGTTTTGGAGATATGAAGTAAAGCATTTTAGTGGGATGCCTCTGATTTTTTAGTATTCCAATTTTGTGAGAAGGATGGATTGATCCACAGTATCAAAATCTTTTTGCAAATATATAAACACCGCACATGCAAAGCGCTTATTATCTAGAGCTCTTCTAATCTTTTCAGTAGTTTCAATAAGTGTGAGGATTGTGGAATATTTGCTTTAAAATCCATATTGATGTTGGTACAAGCATTTAAATTTTTTCTAGAAATTTGTATAGCCTATTATGCATAGCCTTTTCAAAAAGTTTGGTTAGGTTAGAAAAAAGGGAATAGGTTGATAGTTAGAAAAGTCTTCTAAGGAGCCTTTTTTATAAATTGAAATGACTTTAGCTACTTTAAAAACTTCAGGGAATTTGCTGCTTTTAAAAGAATTATTTAACATAATACTAAGAGGTTTGGAGATTTTGTGAGAGGTAAGTTTTAGAAAAATGTAGGTATGCTGTTAGGTCCATAACTTTTATCACTATTAGGAGCATTTTTAATAAATAATTTTAATAAGACTAGATACATCTTCTTCACTCACAGGATAAAGAAAAAATTAGCATTAGGCAAATTAAGGAAGTCACTATAAGTACATTTTGATGCATGATTTCATTGAGTAGTTTTTCACAAATAGAGACAAAGTAGTTATTAAATATATTTGAAAAGGTGGCATGGTCTGTGATGATATTTTCATTTAGATTTAGCTGAGTAGGTTTTTATATAATGATGATTTTATATTTATGATATCTTTTATGCCTTTCCATGTTGTTATTGTTGTTATTAAATTTTTTATGTTGTTCATGTTGTTATTAAAATAAGTTATGTAATATGATTTTTTACTACTTTTTAATAAGTTGTTAATTTTATTTCTATAGAATATAAATTTTGTGAAAAACTCATTTTTAGTATTAATGTTTTTACATCTTGCAAATTTTTATAGAGTTTGTTTTTTACAGAAATATATTTATTTTAGTAAACCTTTAGAGATCCAGGGTTAAGATTTAAGTTTGATTTGGTTTTTAGTCAAAGTTTTATAGGGGGTGTCGAATAATAAATAGAAGTAGAAGGTCATTAGCAGAAATTTTAATTGAACATAAATTACTATATTACTTTAAAAATTGCCATTTAAGGCCCACCAGTGAAATTAAAAGTAAATTAAATATAAAAAAATTAAAAGTAAATCAAATATATTATACTTAATAATAATTAATGTATCAAGTTTATTTCTAGTTAACACCCTGTGCATTAAGCACTAAAATACTTAAAAAATTAAAAGTTTTAATTCTTTATTTTTATGTATTTTTGTTTTTAGGTTTAAAAAAAAAAGTTTTTCAAAAGTTATGTCATGTTGGGTCTCAAAAGAAGCGAAATTATATAAAAATTTCAAAAATAATTATTAATTTAATAAAAAATTATTACTTTAGAGTTTATTGCAGAAAAAAGACCTTTTATAACTGAAAATTAAAGTGTATTTTTTTGATAACACTTCCCAAAAATCTTAAATAATAATTTTTTTTTTTTTAATGATTGTTATTTTTGAAATTTTTATATAATTTTGCTTCATTTGAGAACAAACATGACATACTTTTGAAAAACTTTTTTTTTGTAACATTAGGGACCCAATAAGTGTTCAAGGGTCTTGTACTCCCCCTAAATCCAATAAAATTTTGAAAAAATTTAACTGAGTTGTTTGTGAGAACCAATAGCAATTTTTAAGAATATGACCCCATAAAATATATCTCCAAACATATATCTCTTATTGTCTTCATTGAATTCTGTGCATAACCTTGGTCTAATTTTACAACATGTTGTTTTATTGTCATAACACTTGCTACCTGCAGTAAATAATTAGCATTGACTTAAGGCTAAAATTTAAATCTTTGGCCTTGTATATGTTTGTATTGGCCTTGGCCATACAACTCTTGTCCTTGGCCTTGAAACTTTTGGTCTTGGTATTGGCCTTGGAACATGTGGCCTTGGCCTTGCTATTTTTAAACCTTGTTCTTTGGTGACATGCATAGATTAAAGAAAAATGGTTTTATCCATCAAATTCTTAAGGTTTCTTGAAAGTTTTTAAACATTATGGAAAAGTTTCTTGGACCTTCTAAGGTATTGTAGTAGTTCATGAATGTTTCAGAAGAATTCTAAGTTTTTTGGTATGAATCAAAAATAAGTATGAATCAAGAACTTACAATTCTCAAAAAACCACAAAATTCATATCTTTGTCCTGGTCATAGAAGCAAAGTTTTTGTGGAACAACAGCTATTTTTTATTTGTTTTTTCAAAATGGGTTAAGGGTTTAGGTTAGAAAAACACAATATCAATCCAAAGACAAAAACTTTTTTTATCTATTTTATTTGATGAAAACTAGATAATAATTTATATTATAATATATAATTATATAGATAATTAAAGATATAGATTATAATAAATAATTATCTAAAAATTCAGTGGTAAAATGTTGTAAACAATGTATTGTGTCATAATGTGAAAGATTTTTGTATAACATGTATTTAAAATGAGTTTATGTTTTTTCAGTTTTTATCTGATAATATAATTAGGCATTACATTATTTTGATTTCTGACAGTTCATTTAGTGGTAGTTGCTTTTTTTTAAAAAAAGCTTTGAAAAAGTTTCTGAGCAACACATGATTATGTTTTGTCTTTTAAAGAAAAACAAACTATTTTCTATTTCTGTCTTTTAGTATGTGCAAACAAATAAAGAACAAGATAATGACTGGTTTCGATTAGAATCAAATAAAGAAGGTACCAGGTGATCTTCGATTTTTTAGTATTGTTAAAAATTTGTTGAAGTAAAATTTAATGTTACTTTTTTTATGTAAAAAATTTTGTTCATACTATGGCATTTGTTTATTCAATTTATAAAATACAATAAAAATTTTAAAAGTAATATGGTATCTAGTATCCAATACTATTCTTTTATTCACCTTTTTTTTTTACTATTCTTTTATTCACCTTTTGCAAAAAAAAAAATATCAATAGCAACATAATTTATGAATAATAATTAATTTTTAATTACTCTTTTAACAATATTATTATTTTAAAGATGTATTAATATTTTGTTTATAGGAAAAAATTTATGATTTATAATATATATAAAAAACATGTGTTATAAAAGGAAATTTTTGAATAAAAAATTGTTTATGAAGCACAGACTTGATAGAAAAATCCTATTGTCCTAGTGTCTATTTAACCTTTTTTGTTTGGATCTAACTCTAAACTTTTAAATAATTAAAATCTACATTTAACTTATATTTATAACTTTTAGATGATTAAAATACACAGACTGAATAAACTTTATTTTAAATTATTAAATTTCACAGCCCAAATAAAGTTTATTTTAGATTATTAAAATCCACAGCTTGATTAAACAATCTAAACAGGATAAAATTTGTTTTGGATTATCAAAATACACAGCCTGATTAAACAGTCTAAACAAAAAAGCAACCTGTTCCATGTCCTACTGTCTTGTAATATTTGCTTTCTTCACAATGGCTTTAATAAGTGTACTACCTCTCATCAATACTATCTAATATCTAGGGGTTGACAAGGTCGGCAAAATTTGCTGACCTCGTTTCTATGTTTTATGGTAAGACCTTTGTAACAAATAATTTTTGCCGATCTGATACTGACCTCTTAAAGATTGAGTTTGGCAATTTATTGTTGACCTAATTTTTTCTAATTCCAAGAGTTGTATATATATATATATATATATATATATATATATATATATATATATATATATATATATATATATATATATATATATATATATATATATATATATATATATATATATACATATATATATATATATATATATATATATATATATATATATATATATATATATATATATATATATATATATATATATATATATATATGTATATATATATATATATATATATATATAAATCAGTTGTGGACAGGAAAGGCATGCGATTGCACTCCAATTATGACCACAGAAGTAATTTTTTTTCACCACGGTTTTTTAGATAATTAAAAACACGCTGAAAAAAATAGTCAAGAAAAAAATTATAAAGAGGCTTAACTATATTATATAGTTAGGCCACTGGTCATGGAAATCATGGAATTGTCATGGAATTTTATTTGGTCATGGAAAAAGTCATGGAATTCCTAAATTTTCATTGAAAGTCATGGAAAATTCATGGAACTTTTTAAATGATCTTTATTTTTTTCTACTTTATTTTTAGGGTGCAAAGAAAAGTACTAGTATGTCGAGTCCAAGTCTTTTTAAAAAGATATTTTTGCAGTGTATTTTGCAATTATGTTAAAGTTGAATAATTCAATCACGTTGATTTGACAAGTTTCTCATTTTTTGTTAATGTTAGGAGAATAGCAGTTAAATCTTTTTTTCTTTTTTTTTTAATCTCTAAATAAATTATTTTTTATTTATTCATGTATTTTTATATATCAATCAAAAAAAAAATAAACAAATAAAAAAAAATAATATAAACAATTTTAATTAAACATTAAAAAAAATTAAAAGATTTTTTTAAAAATCTCCTAATACAAAAAATTTCAGCTAATAACCTTTTCTAATTAGCGCAATGAACTATAAAACTTCAATCTTTTGTAATGTTTTTATAATATTAGGCAAACTCTTTAAAATAAAAAAAAACCTAATTAATGTTTAATAAAAAACTAGCTTTATTTAAATTATCAAAAAGTATTTAAAAAAAAAAGTTTATTGAAACATTCGTTGTTGTTGTTGTTTATAAAATTAAGAATACAAATTGTTTTAAAAAAAATTTATCATTAAAAGTTTTTTTTTTTGAAATAAATAAAGGTTTTGTTTAATATTCCATGATAATTTTTTTAAATAATGTTTTGAAACTCTATTTTAAAGCAGTTAAAGTGTAAAAAAATTTTAGAAAGTTTAAATGTTTTTGACTATTAAATTTATGGATTCATCAAAAAGTTTATTAAAAAAATTGTTTTTGTTGTTTATAAAATTAATTGTTCAAATTGTTTTAAAAACATTTATACTTGTAAAAAATATACTATTTAACAATATAATATCTTTAGATAATTTAAATGTCTTTTATAGCATACATTCTTTAGAAGAGATTTCTTGCCTTATTACCTTAAACTTAAATTAGGGCATTTTTAAAGGTTTTTAAAATCGCAAAAAAATAATCAATACATGGTCAGGAATAGAGTGCGATCCAACGCTTTTCCTGTCCACGACTGATATATATATATATATATATATATATATATATATATATATATATATATATATATATATATATATATATATATATATATATATATATATATATATATATATATATATATATATATATATATTTAAAACTAATTCACTTCCTACAAGCTTGCAAGCAAAAGTTACGAGTTACTAGAAACAAAGAATAGGGTTAAAGAGCAAAAAAAGGCTTAACTGAAGACTTTAAAATTTGCAGGTTGTATGAGTCAGGATAACATTAAGATGTGTGAGAGTTTTAAGATTTTTGTTGATGGCAAGTAAAAAAACTAGATAAATAACAAATTTTATAGCATGAAGGAACAGCTATAGTTAAAAGATTTCGCTGAATGACAAGTCAAAGGTCAATGAGTTTTGGTTGATTGAATGGAGGCGATAGCTTGCTTTAGCAACGACCATAGTAGTATTTGTAGAAAAAAAAGAGATGCAAAATTACCATTATGAAAGTATGGCTTAAGCTTGGCAGATAAAGAAGGTCCAACTACATTTACAATGTAATCTACACTTCAATCCCTAAGCTGTTACAAAAGAGATTAAAGAATGGCTGCTAGTTTTTAGTAATCAAAAAGTGAAGACTTTTTGTCCAGTATAAAGTTAAGTCATTAACTGAATAGTGTCATTTTAGATATAAGATAGTCAGGATAATTGTTATTGTAGATAAGAAACAGGAGCAAATATTGAACCTTGGGATACCTTTAAAGTTCTTGGAAAAAAAAATGATTTAATAATCTTTAAACCTTTATATAAAGAAAAATATAAAGAAACTAATAGAGAGAGGACAAATCATAAGATAGTTTTAATAATAGATTTTTAACTTTGTTTTCACTTTTTTAACTGTTTTCACTTTTTTAACTCTTATTAAAAATTTACTAATAATAACTCTTATTAATATTTATTAATAATCGAAAACACTTTTGAAAGACTATGATAAAAGTGTTGTCTGGAATCCAAGTCGTAAAAGAGTTTTATTTATAATTAACTTTAGCAACAGAAGTTTAGAGGTTTGAATGTCTATCAATTGGTTGACCTGTTTAACTGGAATGGCAGGAAGAGCATGGTAATAGTTTTTAGGACAAGTTTTTCGAAAAAAGTTCTGCCTTATCAATGGGAGAAGGAATAAGATCAGACCCATGAATAAGAGATGAAATGCAGGGCTCAAATTAAATGATTGCAAATTTCCATATCCGGAATTGCTTCTGGTCTTTAAATTTTTAGCTTTTTAAAGCTGTAAACTCTGTTTCTATCACTAAACTTAATAACTGTTATTCAATAAAAAATATTTATAATGATCTTAAATTATGATATTAAATCTCATTATAAAACCATATTATTACTATTATTTTTATTATTATTAAAGACTATGATTAAAATTATAATTTTTAATTCATTTTATTAATCATCAGATAAAACTAAAAAATAGTACATACAATGCCTTGTAATATTAAAAAATAATTGCAAATCTTAACAATTTAAAGGAAGTTAGTGGTGACCAAATATTTTAAATAAAAGAAATCCTGAAATGAGAGTTTACCCTGCTACTGGTATTTTGTAACCCAGTACTACCTTGCTCATGCCTTGCTGCCTTGTTGGGTTTTTTTTTTTAGCAAAAGACTAGGAGAAGTTAACTCTGTCTTAATCTTTTCCCCCTGCTCTTGGATGAATAAAGACTAGAGAGGGTGTCTCAATAAAAATACTCATCTTGAGTCAAATAACTTACTGACAGACAATCAATATGATTTTTATCTTCTTGTTCTACGGCTGACTTGCTAACCGCCTTCACTGAAAGATTCTATTGGTCATTATATCGAGGTAGTGAGGCGAGGGATACCGCAATCGACATATCTATAGCTTTCATTAAAGTTTGGCATGCTGGTTTTCTTCGTAAGCTTGCTTCTTATAGTATATCTGGAAAAGGTTTGAGATAATTAAATCAATTCTTTCTAATAGCTTTATTAAAGTCATCCTTGAATGCCAAAACTCTTTTCTTTGTTTCCTGTAACTTCTGGGGTACCTGAGGGTTCTATCCTTATTCCTGTTTTGTTTCTTATCTACATTACTGATCTTCCTGACAACCTTACATCTAAAGAGGCACTGTTTGCTGAAAATTCAACTTAATACTTGTATCTTGATAAATGCTTTCTCTTTTCAATCGCTTAGGCTAATCTTGAATCTGATCTCACACTTGTAACAGCATGGGACTTACAGTGGCTTGTGAATTAAATTTCAATAAAACTCAGTTATTTACTGCAAACAACTATCACAATACTGTCAACATTCCTATATCAATGAATGGTAACCACCTCACTGAGTCTTCTTCTTTACCTCTTCTTGGGTAATATAATCCTTATACAATCAATTGCGAAGTTAGCATCTGTTAAGGTTGCTTCTCTTTATCGTGCTCGCTATTATCTTACTCCTAATTTCATTCTCTATCTCTACAAATCTCTTATTCATCTTTGTACGAAAAACTATTCTCATATTTTGCTGGTTCCTCTAATAAT